CAACCCAGTTTTTCAAAGACAGTTTGGTCTTTGACCAAACCCTGTGCACCTTGTAAAACGACAGGATCATGATGAAAAGGCTTTAATGCAGGATTTTGTGGAAGTGACCATTGACTTCAGAATATTCACAGACACATGAGGAAAGTTGGCTGACTTCTATCAGGAGATATGTCCTGGAGGCACTGCTAGAGATATTTCTTTTAGCGGAAACAGACAGGAACATTGAAGATTAATTTGTAGTCCAATTATATTTTTTTCTAGATTATCTCTGACTTTTATCATGAGCTTGACATCTTTCATATGGTCTTTATAAATTTACACCACACAGTTAAAGTTCTTTGAGGAGTTTAAGTTTAAAGCAGGATTGAAATATTTTAAAGGACTTTATAATGACACATTGGAAGCACAGCAAATCCCTTGATAGCCTAAATGGATGGAAACATTCTAGAGTACAAATGAGTTAGAGATTAATTCATGACACCTTTTACAGGTTTGGGGAAGTCTGTGTGTTAGCTCCACAGCACAAGCAATCTGCTGGACAGTAGAAATGTCCTCTCAGCCTCTCCTTACTTCCCACAATGAGTGTTTAGGGGAAAGAGTCTTTCTTCCTTTACTGTCCTCCCCATTGCAGTCTTTTTATTGTCAAAGAAGTTGTAGTAGTGTAGTCTGTGTAGTGCTAGTGATGGAAAACTTGTCATAATAAGAATTCAGAAGCCAGGAAAAAGACTGGTTCACGTTTAAAATTGTAGACTAAAAATGGCTAAATGCAGCTGGCCATAGAAAGAGTGTTCAGGATTATGCATCTGCTGGGACAAGTGACCAAAATGCCCAAATGTCCCATGGTAGTTAGAGCCAGGAAATCTTGCTGTATCCTTAGATGCTCAGTTGAAATTATTTCAGGACTTAGAAGCAGGTTTGCATCTTTTGTTTGAAAGAACAACCTGAAGTAAACAGGATATTTTTAGAATCCAAAAGAACCTCTATATGGTGTCATTGCTGGAAAATCTTCAGTTTTCCTCCATGTTACTTTTTATTTCTAACAGAAAGAACAGCAGGACTGGGGATTCAGGGAGCATTCAGATACCTCTTCTTCCTCCAAATGATCAGCAAAAGCTGAAACTGGTATTTACCCTAGGGAATAATATTTTTATTTATGTATTTATTATTATGTCTGTAGAAGAACTGTGAAATAGCTTTTACCTTTCCCAGTACTTCCTTTGATTGAAACCAAGTACATCCTCTTGCAGAGGCTCCAGGCTGAGAAAGTCCATGTGCTGCTGAGTTTTTGGCACATTGTGATGGGTTCACTTTTGTGATGGGTTAGCTTTGGCAAACACCCAAATTTCCATCTGCCTGCTCACTCATAACCTCCTCTCTATGGGGCATGGGGAGAAAATAGGATAAGAAAGCTCATTGGTCAACATAAAGAAATTGCTCACCAGTTACTGTTGTAGGCAGTACAGACTTGATTTGGAGAAAGCTAATTTAATTTACTGCAAATTAGAATAGAATCTGGCAGTAAGACACAAAGAAATATTAAGATCTATCCTCCTATCCCCTTCTCTTCTCTCCTTTTCTTCTCCTCTCCAGACTCCTGTACATGGTCCCCAGGTGGTTTGTGGGGGGACAGTTACGGTCAGAACATAGAGGTTTAGTGATTTCTCTCTCCTGCTCTTTTCCTCTCACACTTCTCCTGTGCTTTGATGTGGATTCTCCTTCCAGTCTGCAGTCCCTCAGGAAATACCTGTTCCTTCCTGTGCTCCCCATGGGCTGCAGTTCCCGCAGGTGTACCTGCTCCTCCTCTGACATTGATGTTCCCTCTGCTGTTTCTCATTCCTTTTAGTTCTCCTCTCTATGTTACCTTCTCACAGAGGCACCATCTGATGGGCTCCTCTGTGTCCTGCAGTGGGTCTGGTGGAGCCAGCTGGAGTTGGCTGTGTCTGCCACAGGCCAGCTCCTCATCTCTTCACTTGGACTCATCTCTGTAGTCCTGCCTCTGCCAACGACTTGCTTGTGGACACTGAACACTACTTTGAAGTTAGGAAAGTGACGCAAATGTTTGTCTATCCTGACCAGTTAGCTTTGGCAAATGAACAGTTTTGCTCACTGCACTGTGACTATTCAAGACTTCTTTTTGATAAACAGGAGAGCTTTTTGTGCTACTGGTTGTGCTAGGTCTAATTGTTTCAAATGTCCTGTTCAATTCAAAGCATGTAGTACCTCACCCAGCCTGCACCCCTGTCCTACTGTGTTCCAGGAGAGCTTTTGTTTGTCCTGCAGCCATGGGGATTTGGGCAGGTGGCACATAGCTGGACTTCTTGGCATTCCTATCTGAAAGCACTCCCTGCTTTTCCTACTAAAAAAAGATATAGAGCTCTTTCCTAAAACAGTGTTTCCCAAGCACCCTTGGGTGATTGTTTTAGATTCTTCATGAATACCACTTTCTGAGCACTAGTCTTCTACCCAGACTGTGCTGGATTTATGATTTATTTGAGCTTTGAGGGAGAACAAGTGGCAGACAGCTGATGAAAGAGTTGCTGTGAGGTGGGCATAGGATCTCCTGCATCACCATTTCCTTTGTGAAGACTAAAGGTGCAAGGGTGTCAATCATCTTTTATGTAAAGGTCTGAAAAAGCTCTCAGAGCTCAGTATTTTTAGCTCTTTAACAGATTATCTCTTTTATTTTTAGAGGCAACAATAGCTCTTAGGTTAAGAGGGAGACAAAAGCTTCATTAGCTTTGGAATTTCAAATGAACTCAATAAGGCATTAAGGAGTTTTTGGTTTTTGTTTTTTTTTTCCCCAGGAACCTGAAGAATTGCTTAAAGGATGCTGTGAAAAAGACAGGAAAACATCCAGCTTGGGGGTCTCTGTGCTCACGGTATACAAATATAATCAACCTTGGCATGCCACAAGGCAGCTTGGGAGCACATTGTGCCCCAGCCAACACAGCAGCCACCCCTCTCTGCTGGGGTGAAGGCAGTGCCACAGAGGGTTACATCAGCCGAGGCCTCTCTTCTTGGGCAGGTCGAGTTAAAAGGCTGCCAGGCCTTACTGTGCCTGGGCAGACCCTTACCCCTTACCAAGGGCTGGTATATCTTGGATAAGAGACCTTACAGGGTGTGGCTAGACCTCTGCTGCTTGAGGTCCTCTAGAGTGTTACTGCAGCTGCCAGAGAGGTGTCAGGAGGTCTCACATGTCCCACTCATAAACCAAAAAAATGTAACTACATTTCTAATTTGATCAAAATCAAAACTCAGTATGAAGGTGTAGGAGATATTTGTTGAAATTTTTCCTTTTTTCCTAGTCAGGGCCTTGCTAAAGGGATGTTGTCTCCTTACTGTCCTCCAATACTCCTTCTATTCTGTTTCTTATGCTTACCACATCCAGATTTTTGTTGTTGTTATTTATTTTGAGGGCTATTCAGAGTGTTATTTGTTTGAGTTTTTCCTCTCTAGGATATGATAAATTCAACCAATTTCTTGCAGATTCCCTGTATCAGAAAACTGGATTTCCACCATGATGGTGTTTGGGATGGGAAGTACTTTTTTTTTTTTTTAAGTAAAAACTTTTGTGTTGAAGCTAAACTTTTGATGAAGCACATTATTGATGTATGATGCTCATCCAGCAGATCCTGAGTGTATCAGTAAATCAAGTGGCTGCTCCAAGAGAGGACGCTTGGGACAGAGAAGACCAAGCACTTTGGAGTCTACTCAGGAGCATTGCATTTCTATGTGGCATTTTGCTTTTCTTGTCTAGGGAGTGATTTTTACAGGAGCTCCATCTGCTTAGTTTGCCATAACGGAGTAAAATCTTCCTCCTTTGCACTTTCTATAACATGCAAAAGAGAAAGAAGGAAAGCATAAAAATGTGTATTAGAATTATACTGAGCACATTTCTTTCGAAACTCTAATTTATAAAAATGGGTACATACGATTTTGCAATTATAAATATAGGAAATAAATGCATTAGTTAAGAAGTTAAGCTTTCAAAGATGCTAATTATTAACCAAATGCATTTTACAGTGTCTTAATGACCACTTTTTCACATTGTGTTAATATCCATTAGCTATATTCATACTAGTAATGCTAATATTGTGCAAAGCCATTAGTTAGCTACAAAGTCAATAATGGATGATAGTGATTCCAAGCCTCCACTGCACTAAAAGATACATACGGTTTTTTGGAGTTTTTTTTTTTTTTTTTGTAGAGTGGGAAAGTTAACCTGAGCTTTCACTTGGATATTGTCAGTGAAGGTGTTTATGCTGATTACACAGATGAATGTGGAGTCAATTACTGAGAGCCTATGGACAAAATACTGATCTGCCTCTGTCTACCCAAAAGCAGGAATTGGGTTCAAAATGAATTGCACTGCCTCCAGAGGAGGGCTCCAAATATATCTCTTCATGGACTTTATCTCAGCTGCCTTGTAGATAGAACTCCTTCACTGATAATTTCTCAATAAGAAGTTTCAGCAACACTTCCTAGACAAGATGTTTTTTACGGATAACTCTGGAATATTTAATTTATTACTTTATCTGAATGGATTTTCAGACAATATATCCTGTTATTTCTCCTCTCAAAAACATTCACTGTTATTTTGCTAAATATCTCTCTAAGATTTAATCATTGCTCAGGTGGTGGATTGACCTAGGAATGGTTTCGTATGTGCCACATTTTGCTCCTTGCTTTAGGAAAACTTTTATAAGATTATTTCCAAGTAAAATATTTTATTATACTAATATCAGGAGCATTTTATGCTACTAGTAAAATGTGTGCATTGTTTTAGAGGCTGGATTGTAAAACTAACCATATATCTTGTAAATCATCAGAAAGAAGAAACCTCAGTGGCTGTCTCAGATATTAAGCATACAGATTTTAGTAACAGGGTGTCTATGTTTAATTTTTCATTTATTTAGACACAATATCTATTCTAACTTAAGGCTTACAAAATGCAAATATTGAAAAATTCTTTAATACAGAACACATACACAGACATTTGACTTCCAGCTTGGTATGTTTCATCTGCTTCATCTCCTTTTGCAGGGCATTAACTTCTGGGAATAAACTGCTCTCAGCTGTAAAATGAACCCTTAGCCCCTGTGTTCATGAAATGGATTGAGTTCATTGTGGCACTGATTTACTGTAACTAGATGCAAGATTGATGCATCCAGGAGAAACCATTCCATGTATCTCATCTGTCTCTGGAACTGCCCCTTTAATCTCTTTACTAGATTTGATTGCTCTCTAACAAACCAACAGACACCTCTAAAGCAGGTGAGATTTTTCTTTCAGTGAAAGACCCAGATGGGATGAACAGAGTTATTGTGGACAGGACAGATTAAAATGTCTCAGCTTAGTGTAAGCATCAGCAGAAATGGGTTTGGGGCAAAAGTCCTTTGTCTTCTTATTCTTGCAGCAGAGGAAAGCCACAGACAACAGGAAAAATGGAGTGGAAGGTAAGAGCCCATGCTGTATTCTCTTCCTGTGATCCTGATGCTCTGTTTCTTTGTCCCCCTTCAGGCTGTGATGTGAAGATGAACTTACGGTGGGACTTTTGCTGAGGCATAGATTTGGGGCTAGGAGGCCCCGTAAGGAAAATAAAAGCATTATGCAGCACAATTAGAGAGTTGATGCCCAACAAATCCTGTGGAGGATCATGGAGTGATTACTTGCCAAAGTGAACTAAATCAGAAGTAACTCCATTAAAGCTGGCATCTTAAAACCTGTTTAGAGGGGATCAGAAGTGGGCCCTGTGTGGGAAAATACAAAGCACTTTAGATAATTGTGTGGAGAGCAGGGAGCAGAAAAAAAAGCAATATCCTACCTGACAGAAATCTTGATAACCTGGAAAACTAGGCGAAAGCCAGGAATATAAACAACCTGTCTTGAAAAAACAAAAAAGCCCCAGACAATCTCTTGACATTTAAGGAGGACTTGGTCTCCTAATGAAATAAATACTAAAGAAGACTTAACATACCAGAGTAGTGCTTGTTGAGGTTCCCCAGGGAAGGAAGAGAATGCATTATGGAGCACCAATCCTTCTTTGATGGTGGGGAAGAAGGGACTGCAGGCTTGAGAGGCCAACCTGGAGGAATCAGACAGAAGTACAACGATAACTTTTTATTTCACCCTGTGAAGTCAATGGCCTGGACTTAGCTCCATTGATCAGAGCATGGTTTTAATAACACCAAGGCTGTATAGGCCATTTACTTAAGAGTTTGGCTTGATGATTCTCATGGGTTCCTTCCAACTCAGAATATTCTGGGAATCTGTGAAAAATTTATTCACAAAAAATGCTTCTACTGAAAAAGGAGGATGGGTATTTATCTCTTGCATATCAAGGAAATACTTTGGAAACAGAAGGCAAGCTTCCTGGTGTTTGGATTCTAGAAGAAAATTCCTCTTTTTTTTTTTTTTAAAAAAAAAAAGACCCCTGAGTTAGGTTTAGTCCATGGTATTGCCATTTGGGGCCCAACTGTAATCTGTTTAGGCTCACATTCTGCATTTGCAAGTACTGGAATCAAATGCTGACAGTTCTCACTAGTGCATAATTAAATTCTTATTCCCAGTTGAAGCCATTGGCAAAACTTTCACTGACTTCAATAGTGCTGGATTAAGCTTTCACTGAATGTCATGAGAATTTGAAAAGCAAAATCAATCCAGATTTTGTAAAGAGCCCCTTGTCTTTGCTGTGGATCAAACCAAAACCATAGAGAAAAAAACAAACAAAAAACAAGCCCAAAAACTTTTCCATGAATGAAATAAGAATAAGGAACCATATTGATATCGTGAATACTTTTCCAGCAGATAGACAATCCAAGTCACTTGGGGGTCTACAGTGATTTTGTAAGTATTGTGTAGCAAATAATATTTCTTGGTTATTCTGCTCTTTTTGGCACAGCCCTTCTGGCAGAAATATATACATTTATTTTGTTGTTGCTCAAGAGCTCCTGGTGAGTAATTCCTGCTCTGCAGATGGTATATGATGTAGATGATTTTTCAAGTCCAATTTCAAACTGTAGTGCTGTGGTTTATCACAAAATGTTTTGCTGTAGTCTAATGTAGTCTAATTTCCACTGCTAATTTTCAAATAAATCCAGTCCCTTCTTAGGTGTATCCATCATTATAAATTTGCAATTTCAAACCAATGAGAAACAGGAGTACCTGGCTATAGAGGAAGTTCTTCCCTTCCAAGCCCCATCTTACACCGTGAGACTGAAAGCTGTAGAAATTTGGGAAACTGGTAAGACAGCAGAGATTTTTCTCAAGGAGAATGATATAAAATAAGTATTGTTCATCTTACAGTAACCCCCTCCAAAAAAAAAACCATAACAAACCACCAAAACCAAACAACTAAACAAATCCAAAACAAATTCAATAGAACAGACTAACCTTATGTAGAAATAGCAAATGTATTCAGTCTATTAATAAACCAGTTAGGGATGTGTGGAATGGAAGGTGACCTGAGCTTCCCTTGATGATTTAGGGGATTATTCTGGTGCTCACTGAACAGAAGCTTGTCAATAACTGCTGTTCCCAAGCCTATGCTTTGTCATAGCAGTGACCTCTGGTCCTTGCTACAATTCCCTTAGGATCAGAAGGAAATTCTGATCAGTAGGAAGTTCAGCCAGGAAAGTTGAAGAGTCCATTTCTTCAGAGATATAAATGCTAGGAGAAAAAGTTCACCCCATTAACAAGATTTGCTCCTGCTCTGTTGCTGTTACAGCCCTGGGAGAGGACTGGACTTTTCACTCTCACCAGCTGAACTATATCGGTAACACTCCATCCTTCAGTCCTGTCTTTGAGTTGTCAACATTTTTCTTTGGCTTTAGTAGTGACATAATGGGCTAAGTAGGGCTCAAAGGGGGCACCAGAATAGGACTGCAACTGCTGTGGTCACTCACCAGTGTTCCAGACCTGGACTGCCCTTCTCTGGCTATCGGCTTTCTCTCCTGTCCCCCACTGCCCCAATATTCTCAGCTCCCCATCCCTAGGATAGAGGCAGTTGTCAGCCTCTATCTTAGCCACACTTCGGTCTCCTTTTGCCTTTTGCTCCTGCATGTCATGGTCCAAGGGTTCCGGGTACACAACTACAGTATGTAAACATGGTTATGCTTTCTGACACATAAAATTGTATCAGCTGTATGTTGTTTATCAGTAATTTCTGATTACACCTGAAGATTGGAAAGCATGTATCCAGTCAAAATGTTTTTACTTAGTGTGTTTTGCCTTCTGAAATACTTAATCCTCGCTTTTACTCCTATTACATTTCCACAGTTTTCTGGCAGGTCTGTTTTCTTTTTCAGAGTGTGTGCATTTTACCTATCAGATTGCACTGGAGAATAAAACATTTATTTTCGATTTTTTATGGGAATAAAATAATAATGCTATTATCTACGCTCTTGATTACCAGGATTATCTCATATATATACAGATCCTCCAGATAGGGAGATTAAGTGATCAGAAGGTTCTTAGTGGGCCCCAGGCTCAGAGTGTACACTAAAGAGGATCAAGCCTGCTTTAATTCATGTACTACTTTGTTAATGCTCCTGTTCTTTCTCAGGATACTTTCTGAAATATGTTATCTGGGTCCCAGTGCGGTCCCACTGAGTTGGACAGACAGTGCTTGGCTTTGATGGACAATAAACTGGGGCTGACTTGGAGCAATAATGTGTAAAGAAGCATGTATTTTGCTCATCTGGGGCTTGAGCTATCTCAGTCTTTCACATGTGTTGGCAGACCTTGAGTATCTTGTTCTTGCTCAGTGTTGCTAACAAATGACTCCAGAATCTAGTGAGCATGCCTCTTTGTAGCCATTCACAAATCCAAGGTGTTTGAGGGAGCATAGGAGAGGGCCAGCTGTGTCCCTTAGAAAAAGAAAGAAAGGAGGTGGAACAAAGGCTTTTGCTGACTGATTGAATAGTTTTTAGGCAGGCAATGGGACTTGCTTATAAAGAAAGTTTCTGAGAAGCTGACATTTCTCCATGGCCCAGCTAGCATGTAGCAATTTGAACAATGAACGTAGGAAACCACCCTGCAAATATGATTTATCCCCCAGATATTTTTTTTTTAAAAAGACATGATTGCTTTCTGACTAGGATATGTGCTCTGAATTGCTTAAGAATTTTGAGAAACTTCTTTTATAGAGCTTGAAAATACAATAACATAGAGATGAAAGACTCCTTTAGAATTAATGATGGGGACAGAACTGAAGTGACATCCATGTTGAAATGCCACTGTCTTAAGTTGTTCTTTTCCAGTGTCATGGAGTTACTTTACCTTTAAGAAAGTTTAAGTTGCTGGGAACTGCCTGGCGTCTTTTCTCCTGACCAATTATCAGTCATTGCTGAGAATTGACAGCAGTTTAGGCCATTGAAAAGTGGGATCAACTTGTGAACCCTACCTTAAAGTGTAAAACCAGAGCTCTCTTGGTTCTCTTTGTTTCCTGGCTGGGAAGGGTGGCGGAGCTCCAGGCCTCCCGTTCCCTGCCCAGGCCATGCGGCCGGGCGGGGACTGGGCTGGGCCCAGCGTCTCCCGGCCGGGGGATGCGGGCCCTGTGGAGGGGGTTTTCTCCGGGCTCCGGCCGGGCCGGGCCGAGCCGATCTCTGGCTCGGCTGCAGGTTTTTTGCTGTAACTAAATTCACTAGAAACTGCTGAGTGAAGAAGGAGAGAGGCTCTGGACCTGCAGCGGGCTGGGCGCGGCGACTACACTCTCCAGAGCAGCCATGAGGAACTTTCCATCGCAGACGGCTCCAGCTCCTGCACCGGCCGAGGCCACAGAACTACCTACAACAGCCTGGGCAAGATTTTAACTCTTTCATTACCCAGATGAGACTTGCGGATTAATCTTTTTATCCAGAGAGAGAAAAAGAGAGTGATCAACATGAAAAGAGACTTTATAAACTACCAGTGACAGGAAAGAAAAGAAGCTTCAGAAAAGGTAGAGAATTAAGAAGATGCTTTAATTAAGCTGAAATATCTTTCTGTTAAAACTATGGAAATGGACAATAAGGTCTTGAAAACACTCCTTTAATTCATGACAGTAAATAGGGAGGAATAGAGTGTTCAAAGTGTAAATTTTGAGTAAAAAAGTAGAGTAATTATGGTACAGTGAAGTGCTGGAAGATTTGAAGCCTTGAGAGGCAATGAGAAAACTGTTTTCTGGTGAAGCTCACAGAAACAGATGAAGAAGACTTTTTGCCTTTGAATAACTTATCCTTAAAAATCCCATCCCTAGACTCATGGCCCATACACACTTGAGAGTGATGTGAAAATGGGAGGAGTGGGCTCTAATAACAGCAGCTCTGGGCAGCTAACATTAGAGCAATGGAAAACTATAACAAAAATAGTTTTTCTTGTGAGAAACTCCATAAATTAACAGGAAGAAACTTCTGTTTCTCTATAAAGACTGGTGAAAAGACTGTAGCAAGAATTGGGACTGTTTTAACCATCAAAGTTCCAAAGTTTTTGTCTCTTTTGTCATGTGAACAAGGGAATAGTGGGTAGACAGGGGATGAAAAGGTTTTTCTGGAAGTTTATTCTGGTGTTCTTATTGTAGTTTGTCAATAAACTTTCTTTTTTTTTCCTTTTAAGTTTTATGCCTGTTTTGCTCTTGTTCTAATCCATATCTCACAGCAAGAAATAAGTAATTTTCTTAGTTATTAGTTTAAAACCACGACATCCAGTTACTGTGTTTCTGAATGTGCCTGTGGCTCCCAGTCTTTGTCATGTCTGCTAGCAAATATCAGAGCTAGAAGATGACAAGAAATGTGCAGCAGTGGAGAGTGCTATGGGGTAGGAGTGGGCTTTTGACACTGAGTATAAGAAAAAAGAAATTGAAAGATCTTTTTACTTAAGAATATAAAATTATGTGAAAATTTGGGCTGATAAAAGAGAAGTAGACAAGAACAGATGAATAGATAAAGTGCCTTGAAAGGAACAATGGGGGTGGATGCAACTGTTGAGGAAGGGAGGTCCTGTGAATGTGAGAAAGACTTCACTGTACCTCATAAAGAGAGGTAGAAGACCTGAGTTTAAAATTCAAGAGTAGGAAATCATTGAAAAAGGGCTCTAGAATGTCTAGGCAGCCAAGAAGAAATGACAGTAGTATGAGCTCAGTAGCAGTGTTTCGAAAAGATTAGGCTGTAGTTATTTCATCAAGTAACATTCCTTTCCTCACTTCTCTTGTTTCACAGGGAGGACGGTAATCTCTCATTTATTTATAACTATCCCACGTGTGAAATGAAAGTCAGAGCTGGTTATGTTTGGCTCCAGAGTCTACCACAGGTATAGGATCCTGTGAGAAATCCTTACTTGTCAGGCCTCTAATTTTATGCTCTGACAACCTTATGCCACAGCAATAATCTCTCTTAAGACTCAGCAACCAACCCAGTTGCAGTGCCAAGCTGCCCAGTTTAATTTGATCTTCCATGAACACTGGCTTTCCATGTAGGAACAGCACTATGAGGCTGAGGTGCACTTGTATGACTACATCCACAGAGTGAAAACACAGCCTTCCAAAATAGCTTGTGTCTGTCCTTTCGGTGGTCTGTCCAATGACCTCGCCCAAAGAAAAGGAGCATACCTTCCAAAAATATTATAATGGAGGCAGAAAGCAGTGTTCACTCCCAAGGGCAAAGCTGAGAATTAAAAAAAAAAAAAAAAAAAAAAAAAAAAAAATCACTGTCAAGCAAGACCCTTCTTTCTGTTTTTAATTTCAGAAAAGCTAGTTTGGTAAAGCTTGGGCTGGATGGCTTTCAAATGCAAATCCTCCAGGCTACTTTAGGTGAACTTGATATCATCTTTGAGTCAGACTCGTCTCTTAAAATGCAGCAGGACCAAAAAAGGACTTGTGATTAAGGAGACCTCACATCCTTGGTGTCCTGGAAGCATGCCAGAGTATGAGATGATATTTCAGTCCTTTGCATTCCTGAGAATGTCCTTTTGTCCCATGAAAGGCTGACATCTTCCTGTGTCATAACGAAATGATGAGACAGGGAGGGAGGTGTCTGTCTAATGAATCAGTCTAGAGAGCAGCTAGCAGACTGCTGGTAGGGTGATTGACTGTTGCTTTTTTGGGCTCTGTGATGAAGGGGTGTCAGACTCTGATGTTCATTCCTGTCCTCTGGCTGCCCCCTGTTGGCTGGCCCACCAGGTCTGCAATGGACCTGGCATCCCCCATGAGCAGTACTTGGAAGGGCTGGACGCAAATGGGAAGGATGTTCCATAGAAGCCATCACTTAAATTACAAAATAGTCTTTTTGTGTCCTTTAATGTGACATAAAGTGTTGTGGTGGTGTTTTTTTTTTTATATATATTTGTTCTTGTTTCTGTTTTTTCTCTTGCTAAACTATACAGTTTAAGTTGAAAAGGGTGATGACTGCATAATTAAGCTTTTGGAATTCTGTGCTGGAAGCTGGCAGCTGCTTTCATTTCTGCTTAGATTTACTTTCATTTCTGATTCATATTTTCTTTCAGTGGCTTTCTCGCACACAAAACCTCCTGTGCCAAAATCATTGCTAACTTTATAAGTATAAAATGGCTACATCTGCTAAAAATCACCCTTGTATGAAATAGCTGCATCCAAAACTCCAGACAGGTAAATTCTTCTCAGGTTATATTAAACATATAGAAATGTGAATTCCAGAAGTTCTACCCTCAGCTATTCAAACTCAAATTTTACTGTGGTGGGTGGGAACTTCAACAAGCTTCCTGAGGGGAGAATTGAGGCATTTCTGCTGTAAAGGAGATGGGAAAAATGTCATTTTTCTGCTAGCATAACCCATCTCCCCATAGATCCTCCTTTAGAAGGACATGAGAACTCTCCTCCTAGACTAGAGGGCCATCTAGCTCAGTACACTAGACTGACAGGGCTATCAGCAGATGCTTAGGAAAAGTGTATCAGCACAGGGCACATACAGCATGATCTTTCCTTTGGTGCATCCTCTTACCATCCAGAAGCCACCGTTTTTGAGACTTACTATGCAGAGGCTGGACAAGGCCTGTCACTTTTATAGCCACCAATGAACAAACTCAGTGTCTAAAAGTTGCCCTGTTACTCATAGATATTCACCTGTAGCCCTGCTAACTTTGTGAACTCCATGCAGCTCTAGATGCTTGTCTCTAGCATGATTTGACTAATGTATCATAAGTAATGCAGTGAACTAATCTCCCATTCTGGAGCACATTCCAATTCTATTATCTCAGCAAAGATCCCCTCATGCTCCTCCTCCTCCTCACCATGGTGTATGCAGGCAATTCACATCCAGCTGTGGATGGCAGCTTGTCCACCTTACAAGACAGCTGTGTGCAGCTGTTTTTTCAAGTAAGTTGTCAGTCGATATTGTCAGATATGGGCAGAAATAGTGTTCTGTGAGTCTCTGCAGTGGGGATATTCATGGAATGGCAGTCTTGTTTTGTCCCTTTGAGCATACAGAAGGAGCAGGAAGATCGCCCTTCATGACTCCATGCTGTGTGTAATGGACATCTCTCCATGAGGGATCCTAAGGTGTCTCTCTTGATGATCACAGTAACTTAGATGTTAACCTTATCAGCCTTATCCTGTGTGACTATTTTTCAAGCTCAGTTAGATTCCTGGAGACAGGAGCAATCCAAGATGCAGGACTTTCCCAGGCCTCCAATTTAAGGTGATCATGAAGTGAAATGGAGCCAAGAAGAGCCAAGTAAGAACCTCCAAATGCTCATGCTGTCATAAAGACCATGTCCTTTTAGCAGAGGATGCATAGGAGGCCAAGAGAAGTTGCATAACAGTGCTATGACACGTTTTCCCATGAGAAGCACAGCCCTGCTTTCCAGGCTTTCCAAGAATCTTCTCTAGTGGCTGTGCCAATACATTCTGCACTGCACCCCAAGACAGCTGGAGGCCAAGTAATCTGACCTACCTGTAGCTATATGAGACTTTCAGCAACTGTTGACTTCAGAAGACAAAGATCATGCTGTAAGGCTGAATTACTCTTTTGAGATGGGAAATGAACAGAAATAGGATTCAAAGCTGATGCCCAGAAAAGGTAATGGAAAAAAAACATGCATGCAATCTGTGAGCATGGATTCTTTACTCCAGCAGGTGCCAGTCTGCTGCATTTGCAGATGGTATATCAAGAGTGCCCCGATGGCTAGTTAGAGCAATTCCTGCACTAATGTGAACAGAGATTTTGATTTCACGGTCTGAAATAAAATGACCCAAATATAATTATGCAAGCTTATTAATTTATTTGCTATGGGTCGGTAGCCCTTCATAGTCTATAACACCAGTTACATGAAGGGCCAGGGGGATTAAAGCTCAAATTTAGCAGAGTTGGATTCCTATATGGAAATTGGAAGAAACGAAGCACTAAATTGCATGTTTTATGATGATATCTTATTAAGAAAAAAATTAATGCCCAACTTTGAAAGCACCAAATTCATTCTGAACAGAAGCAGTACAAAACAGCCTCATGAAGGTTTGAACTGAATGATATATAAGCAAGTTATGTCCCCCTGTCTAAGTGCTAGAAACATGGACAAATCTTGAAAGTTACCAGCTCAGGATGGCAAATATAACATGGGCTTTCTCCTTGCAGAGGGAAATTCTACAATGGTGCCAGAGGCATTACCGGCAGATTTAGTAAAGCTAGGGTACTCCATAAAGCATGTGTCTTGGTTTTGAGACAAATTTCAGGAGAAAACACCCTAGAATGAGCATTTCCTCTAAGGAGAAAGGGTTTCAATATTTTCCTTTTCTTTTACCAGTGAGAGAAATGGATACCAGGAGCTGAAAGTGAAAAAAATGGAGTTTATTAAGAGAGAGAAAAAAACAAACAGGGTTTCTGCAAGGCACAGAAAAAGAAAGAAAAAGGAAATTGAATAAATGCTAGATATTGAAATTGTGCATGGCAGCCTATGTTCTTCTTGATGACATCTGATGCTTTGTCCTCAGGGTTCTGTGAGCATTTCAGAGTTTAGTATATGGAAGTATTAGATCCTTCTCCTACAAAACAGAAGGGGGGTTATTGGATCAGACCCTTCCATTCCCAATGTAATAGGCTGTTATGATATAAGAATTGTGAGAATTGAGTGAATGACTATGGTTTAATCACACTGCACTGTATTTGGGGGCTTAAACAAGACAAAGAGCCTGTCCCACACAAAGTCAAATGCAGCAGGGATGAAAGGAGTTGGGCATTTAGTCTGGGTGCTGCCAAACACATGTGGAGTCTTTGTTGACTTTCTCAGTAAACTATTACATCTGTGTGCCAGAGTGGAGGAGCCACTGGATCAATGCATAGATCACAGAATCCATTAGGATCACGGAATGTTCTGCATTGGAAGGGACCCCAAGGATCATCAAGTCCAACTCTTAAGTGGATGGCTCAGATATCACAGTATACTTTTCTCACATGCAAAAGCTGGCCCTGTAGGCCCTCCCAGCTAGCGCTAGAGGTAATCAGGACCTTCACTTAGAGCACCTCAAAAGGGCACAAACTTTGACCATTGTGAACTTGATTTGAGCCAGAGAGCCAAAAGCAAGGGAAAAGCACACCTGCCTCAACTCTTCAAACTACCTCTTAAGGGCTTTTATCTTACATGGGGATATAAAACACTACTTTGTGTTTCCTCCTTCAAAACTGTCTTGATATGTGTAGTGGAAAATCAAGGAATAAAACTTTCCATCAGGGATAAAAATTAAACCTCATTCATTTTTTTCCATTAGTTTTTCTCCCTGCTTTCTCCGTTCATGAGAAGGATACATATGATGGCTATGTCTGTGTCAATGGTGGAGTTCATGGCTTCACCTCAAAAGACACTTCATACCTAAGTGACATTCTGGTGGCCTTCATAACATAGCCCAGCTCATACACTTAATATTAGATAAGATGGCTAAGTGTCTTTCCTCAGAAGAGGGAGCTGTGAGGTTGAACCCTCTTAGGTATAAAGAATATGAAACTGGAGCTCACTTCCTGGATAAGCATCCCAAGGTGATGGGAAAGGATTGTGCCTGAGGTGTGATAATGTACCAGCTCCTCTTCCAGAGTTACTACTAGATTGGTTTTTTGAGGTACATGCAGCCAATGGGAGATAGCAAGTTCTGAAGCTCAGCATACACACTAGTATTTATAGAATGTTTTGTGCCATATCCTGTAATTAGGACTAACCTTGATAATGCTGATTTACCTAGCCTTTTAATGGAAAAAAGCCTTGCTGTTAAATTAAATGACTGCCCTATTTTTTTATTTTTTTTTAAGAGTGTCTGGACTACTACACATGGCTGTAATGCTCTCCCAAATTGGAGTAAAGATGATGCATTTGACTTAGGCAATAAAAGTGAATCCTGCATGTGATTATTTGATTGCAATTCATAGAAGTTTATTATAGAAATGTAAGAAGGAATAACAGCATCACTTTAGAGGAAGATAAAAAAACCCTGACCCTAATCTTCTCTCTGCACTGAAATGAAACCCAAAGTTATTCCAAATTAATTTTATAGAAGGAGTCTTATCAGGTCTCTACTCATGCTTGACATCTTACCAAGTTCTTTCCCTCCTGGTGCTTTTCTCACAGGACACAATGAAATTTAGCATTCATAAATTGCTCAGGGCCTTTTGTAAAATCCCAGCCCATGATATCAGGACCTTCTTTCCTTGTTCTGAAGATCTTGACGCTGGACTCAGATTTTTCATCAGTCTCTAGCTGGGGTCTGCATGCCACTGCATCCAAATCACACATCTTCCAGGGCAGAGAAGTTGCTGAGGATGCTTCAGCACCATAAGACATGGTGAGTAATGGGTTTTTTGATAGTGATGATAAGGGGCATGTAGAGAAGTGTGAGGATCACTTTACGCCTCAGTGGCTTCTGTGCAGTATAGAATCATAAGATAGAGTGGTTTATGTTGGAAAAGAGCCTTAAGAACATTGAGTCCAAATGTAAACCAAACACTACCAAGGCCACCCATAAACCATGTCCCTAAGAGAGCATACCATCATTTACCTTCCTACAGTAGGTAGCCCAGATAAATTAGTTTTGCAATACCAAGCTGGAGGGATGCTCATTGCAGCTGCAGCAGAATGCAGCAAGGCATGGATTGCACCTTAGGATGGAGGTGCTGAAGTAGCTCACACAGCCCCGTGCCATATCAGCTTCACCCTTTAGGAGTATACAAGCTGTCTGGTTTAAAGCTCTGCCTGCATGATCTCTGCCTTCAATGCTGTATACCCCACGCTTGTAGAGAAAGAATGGCAACAGGGATAATAGAAGGCTTTGGTTAAGCATTGAGCTAAGGAATAGATGTAAGCCTTCAATTTTCCCCTGGCTCTTGAGATGTTCCCATACAGCTCAGCTTGTATGAAGGAAACTGTAGGAGCGAAAAACTATCTCTGCTAGGGGAAGAGGTTGGGTTGACAATGGTTAAGTTAAACTCTTACTCTCGGGAAAACACTTAGGAGAAGTCCACTTACCATGGCTGTGTGGGCTGGTCATTTTAAAAGTGGGGTTCTTATCTGACAGCCTTTCCACAATTTTTTTCCCCTAGAACTTGCATTTGTCTGCCAAAGGACAGCTGATGTACTGGTGCTGTTGCTCCCACAGTGCCACAGTCATAATTCTTCTTGTATTGCATAACAGAACTCCTCATCAACACCTCATGGCTGCAGGGTCAGGATTTAATTAAAACATCATAAAGATGTCTTTGGGGAACTGGACACAAGATTATTCTGAATGCAATGCAGTATTGCAGGAAAAATGTGACTCTGTCTACTCGAGTGTAACCAGGGCACAATTTAGGTGACCAAGAAAGAGCAGCCAAAACATATAGGATCAAGCAGATGATATAGAGTAAGCTTGTTTTAATGAAAATATACATAAGATGTGCTTATTTCCAGTATGCTTTTGTGAGCAGCATTTGCTTGAATTCTACTAGAAAATTAAAAGGTGCTGCCAAAGTAAGAGTGCTGAAGCCTGGGAAGGGGAAGGAGCAAAATCAGTATATCTACTCGAAATCTTGTTTGAAACACCTTAAAAGGTCTCTGATGTCAGGAAGAGGTTGTAAATGAAACTCCCAAATAATCCTAGGAATACTTTGTGTCTAATTTAATTAATTTCATTTTGTTATACCAGATTATGAAGTGAGAAAGACAAACTTCTACCACAGTTATCACTGTGCCTTCACCTAGAAAATTACAAGGACTGTGTTTGTATCTGTCTCACTTCTGTTAAGTTGGATCTGCGGTAACTCCTACACCCCTGGTTTTGAGCTTTAGTCCTGAAAGGTTTGATTCACCACCAAATACCTTCCATTTCATTGTCATAATTGCATTGATTTCAGCTAAATTCTGTGAAGTTATTTTGCGATGATAGAGCAGTAATTTAAAAAAAAAAAAAATCCTGTAAAAGTCTTATGGATCCTTTTTGATTTTAAAAAGTTCATTTTAGTGGTTCTGTCTCTTAAGAATTAAAATGATCCAATCAACAGATTGACAACAATGCCTTTGTCACCTTTTCTATGGTCTGTATGTGTGTGAGAGAGGGAGGGGACAGGATGGGGGGGTGTCCCTGGGTTATGTCTTTCCAGCCTGTCTGGCTTCCACTGCTCCCTGGTTCCAGCAGCGGTGCTAGTTCACTGCCCAAAGGATAGGACACTTTCTTTTTGGTTTTGAGCCAGAGCTGCGGACTGCCAGGGAAGAGAAGGACCTGACACTGCCTGCCACTGCTGCAAATGGTGATAACTCTATTGATTTCAGTGGCATCAGGCAGCTTCAGAGCCAGAGAGAATGCCTGGCCTGACAGGATTGGTTCCTGTGTGAGGAAGGACAATTTTATTCTCCCAGCATTCCTGGATCATACACAAGGAGTTACAAAAGGAAATGCTAAAGAGAAGGTGATACATCAGCTCTTTGGGATTGGTGATTCATTTTGTATGACATTTACTATTTTTCTTAAAGTAAAAATTGGATAACAGTGTTTCCTTTCTACCCCAAACTAAGGTTCATGGCCAAGTTTTTAAATATACATATTCAAATCAGCCATTTAGGAAATTCATAGCATAAGCCAGTCAACACTCACTAAGCCATTTTTCCTCTAGTAGGAAAAATCAAATCTCTGGGGAAATATTCCATTTATTAGGTTCTCAGGAGAAATAAAGGATAAGAACTGTAAAGATGAAGTTGGCAGCCAAGGATGAGGGTAAGGACTCAAAAGAAACCCATCAATTCCCGAGGGAATGTGCAAATTCCTCTAATAGACTTGTGTCATCTTTACTGGAAGCTGTTTAAACATGGCTAAGATTGTCAATGTTTGGCTGTACTACTGTGCCTCTGCTAGAGACTAACAGTGGTTTCAGTGGGTCAAATGCCTGACATAATTACTGCCTGGGTTCAGGGTGCTTGGGAGGGCTTTTCTCATCCTTCATACAAATTCTCCCATGCCATGGTGATGAAAGGCTGGCTACTTCACTTCCTCAGCACCACCAGCTCTTTGCTCACACCAGCCAAGGGACTTTCTCTGCTCCATTGAGTCTGAAGGATTTAAAGTGGAGGCTTTTATCGGAGGTCCACGAAATGCCTTTCTGCTCCCTGCACTCCTTCATAAACCATGACTGGCCTACTTGCCTTTCATCACATGAAACTCCATTTCCAGTGCATAGATTCCTTGGATCTCAAGCAAGTGTGTGTTCTGAAGCATTAAAATGCAAACCTCAGCATGGGACTTATGAGGGTCACATGTCATCTTGCTGTCATCGTCTTCCTTGGGCTTTTCATGCTCATAACTGTACTGTTTTTTCCAACACTTTAAGATGTAAATTTGAGTATTAAATATTATATTCACTGCTTGGGTTTTGCTTTCTCCTATCTCACCTGTGGTTCATTTTCACAAGTTGTTGTTTGTTGTATAAAAGATTCTGCCTCATTTTTTCCTGAATATATTTCTGTCCTGGTTAATAGGCAATGTTAATTATGTCAGCATAAAGAGAGGTACATTTTTTTCTTCATATTGTACACATTGCTTAACTGCATTTGGCTTGCCTCTAATCAGAAGCTGGTTTTATGTGCTCCTTAAGGAATAATTAAAAAGTGTGTTTTTTCTGTTTGTTTGGTCAATTGGTTTGGTGGGGGTTTTTTCAGCAAGCAGCAAGGAAAAGTTTTCTCCATTCCACAGGCTGGCTATGAACTCACCTGTACAGGCAATGCTTCTTTATCCAAATTTGTAATTAATTCTATAGACATTCATCTGTCTGTCTATCCATGCATCTATTCTTTGCCACAATTATTTATATTGCCCCATCTGGAAAGGTTTCTATGAGCATTTAAGGGACACAATATTCTCACTGTACTGAGAGGGTTTGTCAGTCAAATGTGGCTGGGAGTGTGCATTGCTGTGCAGAATGTGGATGCTTAACCTTCTTTGCAGCTCCCAAGAAGGTCCCATATATTTGATAGTTCATGGTCCTGCTAATTGAAAATAGTTCTAAATTTACGTTCTGAGGTAATCTATTAGCGTTTTCCTCAAGATTTTTCATCCCCCTGTGTCTTCTTGAATTTGCATCTGGTTAGTATGCCAGAGAGTAAACAAATCGTGCCTGCCTGGTTCTTACCTCCCATCCTTCTGTCCCCCTCTCAGGATAGATTCTTTCTAGTCTCCGCTTCTCTTCTTTTTCTCTGATTTTTGCAGGAGTGCAAAGGACATGGAGAGAAAGAGATGGGTGACCACACTTTCTGAGATGAAGAAAAGAATCTGCATTTTTTAAATATAAGGATGGAATAAAGTGGTTTCTTCTTTGTGTATGTAATGGGGATTTGGGATCTCATCCATCCCTTCTGGAACTATGTGTTATGACCTCTGGGAAGGTTCTCTGAAGATGAATATGGTTCTGTCACAGGAGTAAGTTTTGTTTCTAAGTTTTTTGTATTTTTTTAAAATTAGAGTGTGACACGACATTTGAAGTCTAAATGATGCAGTAGTTTCAGAGGTGATGACCATCAAAAGGTCTAACTGGCTTCATTTACAGTTGTGATCCTCAAGTGATCAGACTAACTGAGAAGGTCCCCTAAGTCCTGAAATGTGTAACTGAAGTCCTACACATTTGAAAACTCAGCTCTTGGTGTTTCCAGGTCATCAGCAAAGTTTTACCACATGACATAGAATTAAAGAAATTAATACCTAGAGAATGAGGCCAAATGCTTTCTCTAGATGCTTCTAATGTATTTACTACTGCAAAAATCACGAAACATAGAGTAAGGGTTTCCCTGATTTTCTTAAATGTTTAAACTTTTTATAACTTTCATGAAAAAAACCCCGAAGAAATATAACAAATAAATAATGTTGAATGTTGTTAACAATCGAAATATAAAATGCTTTTATTTTACAATAAGGCAGGGATAAAACTAACAGAATAACAGTCAGACATAAAAGATTAAACAAAATGAGGTGTCCTTGGCCAAGGACAGGTTAATTTTTGTGTAGCAGCCATGTGGAGGCAGAGGCGGAAGCTGTGTGGGTGTGGCCAAGACTCTGATTTTATTCCATACCATCTTAAGTCATTGCCAGGAGCTAAGGGGAAAGGGACTCTTTTGCTTTCAGGAAAAAAGGTCATGGGAAAGCATGGTGGGAAAATGGTCTATCCTCCAATTTTTTCCATCATCCTGGGTTTGGTGAGCATTTTGTATGTAAATCACCCTCTGTACATTTTTATTACTAGTATGTTGCTGCTACTGTTAGTTTTCTTACCTCATTGCTTTCCAGTAAATTGTCCCTATCTCAGGGATAGGGACAATGGAACTTCCCCAGTTCAGTACTACACCTAAAAGAAAAGCAAACCACTCCTGCACATCAGTTCCTTTCAGTTAGGGGTCTTCCAGAACCAGGAGGACTGCATCACTGTGTCACCCTGGGGCAAGGGAGGAAGTCTAGTGCTTGCTCTACACCCAAGATGAAGTGAAACTCTTGAGGGAGCAGAATAGACTTGACTTCTCCTTGTCTATTCATATAACATGAAACTAGACATTGTCTGTCAGTACTTGTATTGTAAATCCCTTAAGCAGAGCCAGATACCTTTGCATTCTACACAGATACTCAGAGTTTATGTGGATAAAAGCTCCCTAAGGGGGGACCGTGGCTCAGATCCGATAAAATATTCAGGTTTCTCACTTCCCACTTAAATCAATGATCAGCTATTAACTGCCAAGCATTTCAGAAGTAATCCTAGTGCCATGGAAAGATCAAAGAGGAGCAAGACCTTAACTTGGTTGTGAGATATTTGTACAAGGAATGAGGTATTTCTGGAGACCAAGACATATAAAAGGTAGAAAAAGAGACCAATATAAAGAAAAGAGCCATAAACTAGATTTTGGAATTAATGAAGGAATTCTGTGCATCCAGAGTATTGTTTGTGTGGACAATGATTAGAAGAAGAATGAGAACAAGAAAGATCAAGAGAAATATTACTTCTGATTTAGCTCAATTATATAATTCTTGCATTACCACAGAAAATCAATCTGAATGTGGATTATCATAACAGTTTAATTTACATTAAAGCACCAACAAAGCAACACCAATGACGATAACTTCTTAAAAATCTCCATCTTGGATTGTTTTGAGGAGCAACATAAAATACTATAACAATTGATGTGGCATCCAAGTACACTTAGAAGAAGCAGGAAAGCAGGAAAGAAGGTGATCTGAGGAATATCAGAGATTTGAAGTTTATCAAAAATGAGAAGTTTCTAGAGAAAAAAAGTGGAAGACTGAGGAGATAAGAGACATAAAAGCCAATGGAGAATAGGATTTGAGGTATGTTGAAGTCACCTGAGAGAGCCAGAAGGGTGATATATTTCACAATTATAAGATTACTTTGCTATGATGAGGTACTTTTTTTTTTGTGGATTGCTAGAGAGGTATTGGAAAGAGACTAGGGTAGAAGTGGAGGAAAGGACTTCTGATGTTTACTGCAAGAAGCATATTCAATAAAGCTGAAGGGGAAATGGAGAGGTTAATGGGAAAGCAGGGAGAGGAGGATCAGAGACAATATTATTTTTTCTTTTTTTTTTTTTCCCCCAAGACATGCTGTGAAAGAGGAGTCCGAAGAGACTAAGCTGCTGAGGAGTAAGCTACAGAAAGGTCATACAAGAGTTTGTGTCATGAATTGAAGCATCTGTGGCAGCTAGATGGGCTGTAAGAGCAGGGGAAGCATCAGTGTTTGGCTGAGAGCTGTGTTTGGCTAAGAGGAAGTAAAGTGGATGGTCCTTTCCATGGGCAAGAGGAGTTATGAAGGAGCTACAAATGTGGTAAAAACATGAGGGAACAACACGTGAAGCTGCAGGTGAAGAAACTTCATTGATAACTGAGGATGACATCTCAGATGAAAGACTGAGTTGTAAAGAACCAGGAGAATCCAGAGCTAAAATTAGAGGGAAAGGCTGCTGGGAGAGAAA